GAGTTCAGTCTTGACCAGGAAATGATCCATCCATGACAATGCGGAGGTGCTAATAATCTCCGCCCACGGATATTCCTGTTCCGTACTAAAGACCACATCGAGTGTATGCCTGCACAATGTGTGGGCCCAAGGACCAATTGGGATAGGCCCATGTTTGTCATGGTCTCCATGAACTCCCGAGCCGCACCTGTTAAACTGGCCTCAAGCGGGATGTTGAAGTCCCCCGAAACTAAAAGTCTGGGGGACTCCAGCAGCAGCTCTGAAACCAGCTGTGTCAGCTTGGTTAGGGAATCTGCTAAACAACGGGGTGGTCGGTAGACTAGCAAAATCCCCAAACTATCCCTGGTCTTCAGGTTCAGGTACATGCACTCAAAGTGGCCTGTGTTCTGGATAGGTATCCTGGTCAAATTAGATTGGTCTTATGAACCAGAGCCATTCTGCCCCCCCTCCCACTTCCCCTCACCTGCTCACTGACAGAGTACCTGGCTGGGAGTGCCTGCGCCCATGTAACTGTGCTATCCTCTCCCAGCCAGGTCTCTGTAAGGCAGGCCAGGTCGGCATCCTCATCCAAGAGTAAATCATGGATGATGTGTGTCTTATTTTTGACCGACCTGGCATTGCAAAAGTTGACAAGGTACCGCTCCTATTCAAGACACAAAGTTCTTATTGCTATACACCTTCACACCACTGAACTGATCTTCTCCTGCCTCAATGAATACCTCTCAGGACTTATAAACAAATACAAAACATAGAAGGTATCTCTCCCTCAGTCACTACTCATTACTGCGGTATTTGAGCATTTCACCTCACAGTTCACATCAGCTGAGGTTGGTGAAAGACAAAAACTACTCTGAGGACAGCCCTCAAAAGGGGAAGATGGATTGGTGGAGATTAGGGAGATATTTGGGACAATGCAGTTGATCTGTCCATCAGATGACAGGTTGATCTGTACAATGATCTAGTTACAATTACTACCTAAATGTAAGAAAGAGATCAGGCTCTATCTTCAAACATTTGAAAAGTGAAAACACCACAAAGTGAGTTTTAGTTGCCACCTTAATCCTGCTGTTTCAACACTTTGAATTCATTTCTCCCAATGCAAAAGTGGAAGGCAGGAGCAGCTAGCTTATTATTCAGGTTGTGGCTCAAATTCTGAATGTGGTTCTATAGCAGGGGTAGGCAACCTTTCCCTTTAAGGGCCGAGGGGCTTCAGCTCCCAGAATCCCAGGAGCTATTGGCCAACATGGGACTACTGGCCAACATGGCTGAGGCTTCTGGGAGCTGAAGTCCCTCGACCCTTAAAGGGGAAAGGTTGCCTACCCCTGTTCTATAGTGTATGCTTTTGTGGCTGTTTTTACATAAGTTGAACTTCACTCCTTTATTTGAGATACATGGTAGGTTCTCCTTTCTCCCTGAATTGTATGCTAATAATCTTTTTTCAATTATACTCCCTATAGAATATCTCTATTGTTTTAGGTACACAAAAAAAGTATTGTTAAAATTTAATCTCACTCAGCTCCACAGTGGGTGGCTTGGAATCTCAACACAATTGTGCAGGCATTTCTCCTTGTTATGTTCATAAATTCTTACAACAATGAAAGCTTCTAAGTATGTTAAACATCCTTAAATCACCCCATGCTTCCACATTCGCCCTTGTTTATTTATCTTGTTTTGTTTGAAGCGGCTATAGCTCCATGTTTTTTTCATTTGTTAAGCATTTCTCACATGTATATTGCAAAACCCAAGCCTGTTTGTTTGTGACTGGTTTGGGCAAGGACTAACCTGCTATTACTTTCCCCTTTCTCATTTGAGTAAAGCTAGATGGGTGGTACATTATCCAAAAAGCAGACAAGACTTATCTGTCACTTGCAGAACTGATGTAATGTATGTGTCAAGCCTCTCAAGAACATTGTCTCAGTGATAGAAACAGAATGGATAGGAATATGGATGAGTGGGTATTGAATTAAATGTCAACTCTGACCTTTTGAGGTCAAAGACTCAAAGGCTGGGGATGACAGGTGCAGTTTTGAAAGTCTTTCAAACATCTGACAGTGCTCTGCTGGAGTAGCTCTGTAATAGTGTGAGCTCTGAGGAAACTTGGGGCTTGCCGAGATGGTGAAAATAATAATTTCAAATGAGTAAGTTTGGGAGGGCTGTCAAAAACCCCACAAAACCTGGGATAATCAATCTCAGGGGTTTTTGTCTTTTGCCCTGAAGGATTTGCGTTGTCGGCTATGTGAATAACAGATGAGGATGGATCAGCAACACCATGTATTATATATATTATATAGGGAGAGAGGGGCTTTCTGTGGAGGGGCAACACATGCCATCTCATTTGATCTCTTTCCCACCCCTTGACCAATTGACCCTCTGCCCTGCTCCTAGCAAAGCACCATTTTTAATTCTTGGTTTGCAAAGGAATATATTTCCGTGTGGTCCCAGTGGTACGTAATTTCATATCCTTCCCATTTTGAACATCTGCTCTTTATTTTATTTAAATTGTGATGGCAGATTCCCAGAGCATACCTAGAGGAAGGAGGGAAAACATGATGAAACATGATGAAAAATCAAACTCACAGAAGTGCGGTTCCACAAAAAATAGTGAACAACAAAATCAGAATGCATGACTGCATGAATTCACAGTCACACTAAAAAAAAAAATGTGTAGATAACCCCTTGTTTAGCTAATAGACCAAATCAATCTTCCACTCACTATTCACTGGATGATTCAAAAATATTTATTATTTGAACACACCAATGTTCATACCAGACATGTTAAGTACTTGTGCATATGTGAACATTTACATTGATTGATACTTATGCTCTTGGCCATTCAAAGCCAATGGATGATAAAACCTGGTTATATTGGTAAGGCAAGCATAGGAACTGTTGTTGTTGTGTGCCTTCAAGTTGTATCCAATGTACGGTGAAGCAAAACCAAACCTATCACAAGGTTTTCTTGGCAAGATTTACTCAGAAGGGCTTTGGCTTTGCCTTCTTCTGAGGCTGTGTGATTTGGCCAAGTTCACCTAGTTGATTATAGAAACTACAGAGAAGGCAAAAAATAAACTGAGAAAAATAACTTGACATTTGCTTCAGTTCAGAGGTGGTGGTAGTGGTAATAATGATTTGTAGCATTTTTCAGTGAGCATGTTGTACAAAGACTAGGAAAAAGGTGCACTTTGGGAGTATTTGGAGCATGCGCTGTCATGTAGGGAGTAATAAGGAACTTAACAAATATTTTAATACATGGAATCACTTTGTACATCTTTCTAATTAGCATGGTAAAAAGAACTATACAATCATTCATTCAAGATGGAAGACAAGATAGTCTGAGGGGATTTGTCAAGTGTCATTACTATTTATCTGGTGCCTAAGAATACTGGGATGTCTTTTCCTTGAAGAATGATTCCCTTTCAGAGGTTTGAAAATATTCTCCTATTCACATAGAAGTTTCAGATATCCAATCATTTTTTTTTGTTCCACTAAGCTTTTTGACACCCTTAGCACTACCATTTTAGTATCTTACATTGTTACTATTTTGTTCTTTTTGGTTTAGATGTTCTATGGATCTTCAGAAATACTTCTTTGATGAGCGCTATATATTTTGATACAATGTCTTGCCTTGGGCAGTTTGTAAACACCTAAAAATAAAATAAAATAAATAGTAGACATGGACTGAGATCCTGCGTCAAAGTTGTGTGGCATAAATCCCCACATGCAGAGCTGCATATTGATTTTGCTATGCAACTTTTGTGTTGAATGGCAATGTTGCACAACTAAATGCACCACTGGGTAGGCAAGAGAATGGATAACTGCATGTGCAACCTGATGCAAAATTGGATGTGGAGCCAAAGGAGTACTTCTGTTAATTTGCAAGCCACCTTGATTGGGTTACCAAAGGGCAGGATATAAATAAATATTATTATTATTATTATTATTATTATTATTATTATTATTATTAATTTCAGAAGGGACAGATGAGTACATATCAATTGAGAAGGCACATTTGTACTGCAGTGGCACTACAGGTAAAACCCCACTTCTGCAAATTTGAACTGAATGTGAACAAAGCACATTGGACAAAGTGTCCATAGGGTAATGCACTCATGCCTCAGACACCAAGAGGATTTCACCCTTGGACTCCCATTATTAAAAGAGCCAGCATGGTGTAGTGGTTTGAATGTCAGAGTATGCCTCTGGAGGCCAGGGTTTGAGTTCCCTGCTGGCCATGGAAACCCATTGGGTGAGCAAATTGCATTCTCTCAACCTCAGAGGAAGGCAAAGGCAAACTCTCTCTGAACAAATCCTGCCAAGAAAACCCTGTGACAGGTTCACCTTAAGGTCATCATAAGTTGGAAATGACTTTGAAGGTGCACAACAATAATTCCCATTATTAGCTAGCTGAGAAACATTGGGACAAAGCAGGTTTATTCAAAATTAAATCTCACAAAGTTCTTTCTCTCTAGAATCCTCTTCAACCATGGGAATAAAGGCCCCTGAACTAAGTAGGACTTGTAGGAGATGAAAAATCACACAACTCAGCTCTGGAGCAAGAGATACAATCCCACTGCTCTTTTCTACATGTGATGCCTCCTTCATGTGATTCACTACAGCTGGGCATAAGGGGACTAAGATATATTGCTAGGGTCAGGATATTAGGCCAGTCCTAAACATATCTACTGAAGTGATACTGTTCCATAAACTCAATTGGGCTTACCATAGTTGCTATTAATGAGATTATTTAGAAAACACTTAGCTATCGAACTTCATCATTTTTGTTTCCTTATATTAAAATGTACAGGCACAATGTTCAAGGACTTGTATCTTACAAATTTCCTCCATCTATAATAATGTATGCAAAATATTAGAAAACTAATGAATTACCAAATATCAAAGACTAGAACCAAAATGTAAACAACTATGCAATAATGTCCAAGTGAACAAATTACATTCAGGAGAAAGAAAAAAGACAAAAAGTAAATGATTTAGAAAATAATTGGATACCATTTATTGAGCACTAGAATAACAAGAATCAACAGAGAAATTGAAATAGATTTTGATTAGTCTAACTTATTTGTTTACAATTCCTATCTTCTTTTTCCATTGTGTAATTAGGTGTTTAAAATAGACTGTGTATATCCAGTTGTGATGATCCATCGATATGTCAGTTTCTGTTACAATACTACCTTTGTAATAAGCATCTCTGTTCCTCTAACTACATACACACATACACACACACACACACACACAGCAGTTGCAATCCAACATGCCCTCAGCATAGCAGCCACGTGAGGAATACTTTGCACCAGCATGACACAACTCCAGTATAGAATAGCAACACTGCACAACACATGTCAATAAATGGGCGCTGTTATGCAATTTACAATGAGCACAAGCAATGGACAACTGCATAATCGCAATACACAATGTGTAAACACAATGCACAACATTACGATATGCATAGCTCTACTTCAGCTGCTGTTGGCAGAATATATCTCTTGTGCTATGGTGAATAATTCATCCTGCACAATTTATGCACTTATTTATTTATTTCAAGGATTTGTATCCCATCTTTCTCCCATAATGGGAGGCATATGTCACTAACAGACCCAGGCAAATACTCCTGAAAAAATAATGGTGTTTTCTCACCATTTTTTCTTTTCTTTTATAAAAGGGGTAGCTACAGTATGGCCCTAGGGGAACATGACCCCTCAATGTTGTTTTCTTTTTGCATCAACTACATAGGATTCTATAAAACCACATAGACTGCTTTGGAACATAACGATACCGAGCTGGCTTTCTTGTTTAAATAAGAAAGCTAATACCTGTGCTTATTAAAAGAAATGCCCTGAGATAGGAAATATAAGAGGGATCCTAGTTATAACTAAACTACCTGGGCTAAAGAGTTAGGGAGCCATGAACAAAGCCACAATATATTCTCCTTCTTAGAAGAACAAGAGAGATTTGAGAAGAAACAGGAAAAGTGACCTCACCAACTTAAAGCCAACAGTTTAGATCAGCTAGATTAAAGGTCAGCACAGTCCAGCACTCTAGGAAAGTTTGAGGAGATCTATTGATTATTCTATGCAAATGAATACAACTTGAGTATTAGCTGAGTTGTTCTTTGTCACCACCAAAGTATCCAACAGGAGGAAATTTAACAGCATAGTAGCAACCACTAAGAATCCCCTTTGTGTGTGTCTTCACAGATAATAGTTTGGGCAGTTTGTGGTCTAAGTAGAGGAGAACACTTTCCGATACTATTTGCTTGGTCCATGAGCTACCACTGCCTCCAATGATGGTGGGACCACGAGAAGTGTTTCTCCTAAAGAATGTAAAAACCAGGCAGGCTTGTAATAAAGATTATAGTCTTCAAAGACATGCAAGGAATAATCATTGTTCTTTCTAGTAATATTCTGAAGGAACACAGCTAATGTCACCCCTTGGAATCACCATGATCTTAACAATATGCTATCTTCATCAAAATATATGATTAATTAAATCTTTTTCTGCATACTTTATCAGAACAAAAATTGCCACAGGTAAAATAGCATGGCTTCTGTCATGGGTTTCTTCAAGCTAAATTTGACTAACTATCAAAAAGGTCAACATTGGAGTCTTCTATTAGGCCAGAAGGACTAATACAATGTTTGATCTTGACATAACCTTTTCACATGTGTTAATTAGGACCATAACTAATTTAAATGTTCATTTCAAATCCACACCTTTGTTCAGAGGAAGGGCTTAGTTTGAATCTGTCAGCATACTTCTTAATTATGCAACTTGTTAAAAAGCTGAGTTAATTAGGACATCTCTGTGACTATAGAAATAAACTGCATCAAATGTCTTCTACCCAAAGGAGTCTTGTCTTTTTTATTTTCTTTCTTAACTATTTCTGTTTGGGGAACAAGATCATTTTCAGCTATAATTAGGCATACATATACAAAAGTAGTAAATAGGAAATTAGCAAATATTTAAGGCACACTAAGCAGCTAAAGAGATTAGGGGAGGGCTATAGTGTTTTAAAAGAATTTAAGCTAAGTAAAGCCCACAACTGAGAAATGATAATAACCCTCAATTACGACTTTTTAAGAAAATAGGTATACAAGATGTTTTTCTTAAACAGAAAAAAAAATGAATTGCACATACTTAACTGGCACAGACACAATATATTTGTGTAACTGAGCCTCCAAAAAGAGTGTGGAAGAGGAGAAGATTCATTTCTTGGTGCTGGCTGCAAGTACCAAATAAAATGTCTTCCCCCAATTCTCACAACTGTGATTCCAGGCAATGCAGGGCCCAATTCCCAGTTCTGGTGTGAATTGTCTGAATGACATCCAGCCAATTCAGCACTAAACCTTCTACAGCGGTGTCACTGGGGGGTGCGGGATGTGTGGATCACACCAGGTGACACCCTAAGAAGGGATGACACCACTGCTCCTCAAACATCTGCATTTGGGCAGAAACAGGAGGTGGCAATCTCTTTAAAATGCTTTAAGAGATGGTGGGAGTGGAAAGAAGCTCTATGGGAAGAGAAAGGAAAGGCCCCAGAATTTTTTAAAATTAAAATTTTAAGATTTTTTAAATTAAAGATTTTT